TACTCCCTATTAATAAGATTTAGTTAATTTCTTATTTTTTATGTTTTTTGGTGTTCTCCATACACAGCATTTCCTGTTTATGATTAAAATATTCATAAAATATAGGTGTGAAGGTTCTTTATCTTAATCATACTTTCTAATTATTAAAATGTGTTTAAAGTAAAAAAAAAAAAAATGTGCATACCCTTTGACCCAGCAATACCACTTCTAGGGCTGTATTCCAAAGAGATCATACAAATGGGGAAAGGATCCACATGTACAAAAATATATATAGCAGCCCTTTTTGTGGTGGCAAAGAATTGGAAATTGAGGGAATACCCATTAATCGGGGAATGGCTGAACAAGTTGTGGTATATGAATGTAATGGCATACTATTGTGCTGTAAGTAATGATGAGCAGGTAGACTTCAGAAAAACATGGGAAGACTTGTATGGACTGATGCTAAATGAAGTAGACAGAACCAGAACAATGTACACAGTAACAGCCACGTTGTGCGATGACTAACGTTGATAGACTAAACCCTTCTCAGCAATGCAAGGATTGAAGACATCTTCAAAGGTCTCATGATGGAAAATGCTATCCACATCCAAAGAACTATGGAGTTGGAACGCAGATTGAAGCATACTATTTGTTCTTTTTTTCTTTGTTTTCTTTCATGTGGTTCCTCCTATTGGCTCTAATTCTTCCTTACAACATCACTAATGTGAAAATATGTTTAATAGGAATGTATATGTATAGCATATATCAGATTGTGTGCTGTCTTGAGCAGGGAGGTGGGGAGGGAGGGGGAGAAAAATTTAAAACTCAAAAGCTTATGGAAGCAATTGTTGATAAATTAAAATACATTAATAAAATAAAAAATAACAGCAGTCTATTTAATGACCAATATCTAGTTACTTCTCTGAAGTGGTTTACAGATACCCTTATAAAATACAGCCATCCCCTTCCACATCACAACTTTCCCCATCAGTTTCGATATATTGCAGTTTGGCATAAGAAATTAAATGGGAATTTTTTAAGAGTTTGTGGAAGCCACAGACATGTGATGGCCAAAAGACAACAAAGAGCCTGTGACCAAATACTTAACCCAAATATTACAGTAAGGTACTGTAAAAATGCCCTACAAGAAAAAAAAATTAGATTTCTTTGGTACAAAGGGAGGGCCAAAAAATTTTACGTGGATTTTCCAGATTTGGAGGGGGGAGGAAGATACTACACCCTTAAGACCTGAGATGTAGAAGGGTAACTGTATAACTGTAATGAGTAAATGCATATGAGGCGCTGTTCATAACTCCTGTGATTTGATAGAAGTTAGGTCTTGGCCAGTTGGATAGAGAAAAAAATATACTTTAGGTGGTGGAAAATTTCTTCTCTTCCAAAGGATACCACTTGCAGTGTCCAAGTCTATAAGACAATTATCTGCATTAAGCTGTAATTTTTGCAAGGATTTATGGATAGAAAACTGTGTAATTTATTGTGCAACCAGAAACATTTTTCTGGTCTAGAGGAAACCAGTGAGGGGTAAGCATAAGCCTACATGTTATCCATATAAAGATCCATATAAAGATATGCCTTAGGCATTTCAGTCCCTTAAAAATCTTAGGAGGGAATAAGGATGAAAAGGCGGTTGTGGAGAGACACAAAGGAAATGGGACAAAATGTATTACACAATCATGTATTAACGAAAGTTTTTTTCTTTGTTCACTATCATTAAATAATATTCAAATGTTAGTACACATTTTACTAATTTTCCCTGTCTTGGCAGTCCGATGGAGCCTAAGGACCTTTTCTGAGATTTTTAAATGAATCAAATACATAGGATCACAAGAGAAACCAATTATATTGAAATGCAATCAAAATATACATTTTAATTAACAGACCCCAGATTAAGAATCCCTTATTTAAAGGGCGGTTCATCTGAAACCAAATCCTGAAAAAGCTGATTTTGTACCTAAAGCACCATTACGCATTTTATTGATGTGTAATAAAAAAAAAATATCAAGTATTACACGGTAACTGACCAGTCATCACATTCTCAAAAGGCAATACACATGGACATTTAAAGACAAAATAATGCACTTAAGTCATCTTGTAAATCATCTCAAAGCAAAAACATTTTTACATAATCTGTGATCTTAGTTCCTTTAGATTCACTTCCCATCAAAATTAGAGCCCTAAAGATGAATTAACTACTTTAAGGAACTGCAGGTTAATCATGAACTAGTGACATTTCAGAAGTACTCCGGAAAAAATATTTCAATAAAATGATTATAGTCACTACCGATGTTGTCTTAATGTGCTAAAATGAGATTAGATGTGATTCTTTCCTAATTTCCAAGTTGTATGATGTCCATTAGCAAGACTCCAGACTACCTCACATAGCTATGCATAAGCCATGGCACTTTAAGACTTCTAATTTTTGTATTGTCATATTTTCTGCATTCTCTGACAATACAGTAATCATGGGGTTATCTTAGTGTGACTACATCTTCCTTTGTTTGATTTCAACAAATGATAAATACAATTTTGTCAGTTTCATATTCCCAACCACAGACTTTGAATGGTATCATGCATCACTTTATTATACAAATGTTGAATTTAACATATAATTAAAATTGTATGCAACTACTAGATAAGTAATTTTTCTCTGGGGTTATACTGCTGCTTTTTTTTTTAAAGGAATAAGACTATTTAAACAAGATTTTTGGGGAAAAAAGCCAACAAGCACAGCGCATGTATGAATTTTTTTTATTAACAAAAGGAACCCATAGGGTTCATACATGAATACAAAATACAATCTTTTTTTTTTTTTACTGTGGGTTAATATTTTGTAACAGCTTTTCTTTTCAAATTGAAAAACTTTCACAGCTCACTTAGGAAAAAAAAACAAAACCTTGCTTATTGTGCAAAACAGAAATCATTAAGGTTTTTGCCTTATAAAAGTTTTATGTGCCAAGACACATATTTTCCACTTTATTATTTTTTTTAAAGCAAACAATTCTAAGGCCACAGTTCATTTGCAAAACAAAATAAGAGCCACAAAGAGGTGAAAACCAAGCACATCCCAGCAGCATATTTACTCTTCAATGAATATTCTTGGTACCACAGTGATATTGAGGTAAATGTCCAAAGTCAAATGACAACCTTTATGATTTTCTAAATTAGACAAATACTTTCATTAAGGCGAGTATTTTATATAGCCTTATACTGTAAGTTAGTCAGCTGTATCAAATGCAAATTAATTAGGCAAATGCATTCATTTTCCCACTTTTTTTCTTGTGCTTCAAAGTCACTGTCTACTGACGATATGTGCATTACACTTTATTCTTTCAGGGTGCCAAAACAGTAAGTTTAATAAGTGCTTAATTTTGTCAAGTGACTCCAAGAAACCAGTTTAACTATACTTGTGAATTTGATTTGGAATATTTCCCAATTAAACAATCATTGTTTTGGTATTATAGAAAAACCTGATCTTTTTTTTTTTTTTTAAGGCAATTGGGATTAAGTGATTTGCCCAGGGTCACACAGCTAGTAAGTGTCAAGTGTCTGGTCTGAGGTCAGATCTGAACTTAGGTCCTCCTGACTTCAGGGCCAGCGCTCTATCCACTGCACCACCTAGCTGCCCCTAAAACCTGATCTTTTTTACAAGCATGCAAATCACCAATTTTCAAAACAAGGACTATTTGAAGATGCTATTTCCTAAAATAATACAATGGAACAAAGCTGTGTAATTTAGATAGGTAAGAATTCAAGTAGCACAATTTTATATCATGACTTTAAACAATGGCTTAAAAGTAAAGAAGTGCTTACAAAACTCAAATGATTGAGAGGTATGTTCTGAAGAGTATAAAGAAAACATATATACAATGTGAGTAGAAAAAATCCCTGCTGTTTTAATGATTATGGTTTTAAAACAGAAAATCATTTAATTTTTTTTCTGTTTTAACTGTAGTTAATGATCATGGGAAGCACCAAGGTCTTGAGACAAAACCCTTATGACATAGAAAACAAATACTCTGTCACTTAAAACTGAAATCTATCACCTCATTTTATGCCATAAAAATAAACACTAGGAGTCCTACATCTTTCTGAAATTTAGTATTAGATCATCAGTTTGCCATACAAAGTCTAATTAAATAACAAAGATTCTTAACTTTGATAATAGGTGTATGGGGGCAACTGCATGTACTTTTAGCAGCAATACAATTATGATGATCTGAATGTCCTGAGGTTAAGTGACATAGTAAAATATTGCACCAAAACAAACAAACAAAAAAAAACACAAAAAAAAGTTTAAATAGGATTATTCAAGAATGGGAACAGTAAAATATGTAGTCACTGCCACTCTGATGTAGACAAGAGTTTAAACTAAACTTTTTTTCAGAGGATTTCTTCCTCTTATGAATGTATGGCATTTACTATTACTTTCTCGCTTATATCTAATATAGCTATATGTATATGTTTACTTATGTTCTTACATATTATGTATATGTATACATAATTAACTTTCACTTTACTCTAGTCTTAATAGTTCTAATAGTCCATTTCAAAAATCACATTACAAATAACTATAGAATCTGACACTGCAAATAATAGAAGCTCAATTACAACTTTTGGTCTCAGGTCTATAACTTCTAAGCAGGTAACTACAACTCTTAAAGAGGTAGGCTTAAGAAAAACTTTTGAATATATTTTGTCTATCAATCAAACTTACAAGAAACTGCTAAATTTCCTTGCTGTGCCTTCAGTTACAGAAATAGAAAAAAAGAAAAGTCCTAAATCTACCATGTCAGTTCGAGAAAACCATTAAGAAAATTAAAACTCCAGGATAACAAAGTATGCTGAAGTCATCCAAAATTTGACTTTTATCCCCTTTGAATTCTGAGTCACTTTTTTTTTTCTGGGAGCAATTTTTAGTTTCATAATACTGTACAAATTACTGTTTATGAATTGCATCTTTAAATGACATAGGCCAAATTAAATTGAACTATTCCATTCGGTCCGATTAACATGATGATGTTTTTAAAAAGTTGTTTTTTTTTTTAATAATCTTGTTTAGCATATAAAACATGAAAGCCTTGAATTGGTGGAAAGGGTTCTTTTAAATTTTGTATCAGATCATTTTCCTCTTGTACATCTTTTCCTTGATTATGGTCTACAAGACAGCAGCTGATTAATTTATAGAAACCCAAAATTTTTAGGTATTTTGATTTCACTTTGACACAGTCCCTTCAAATGTTTATCTTGTGTTTCCATTATGTATGTGGTACTTTCTTTGTGGGCCACTCAAGTGTTCTTTTCCTTCACTTACTCCATCTTCATCTGCACATCCAGTTCCATTCAGTGATACTTACATATTCAATCCCATTATTTAAAGGACCATCATGCAAACTTGTCCACATCAAAAGCCCACACTTCTTCCATCTTCTACATTCTTTAGCTTTTATGTTCAAAACTGATACTGAAAGCTAAGTTCCCCTACTTCTATAGCCCCTTCCCAACAAAGGCAGCAGAAGAGAGGTCATGATCTAATTTGATCATGACTCCAGCAGTTTCTGAAACAGTCATAGCATAAACGAAACAGTTTGAGTGTCTTCTGTATCAGCAGGATGTGGATCAACCTGAAGGAGAGAGATTTAGTAAGATTTTTAACATCTGATACTAGAATAATTTTGTAGTTTAATGTATATATGACTGGTTAACTGAGGTGCTTTAAATCTGGTACGAGAGTAAGACCAAAGTCCTGAGTTCAATATCCCCATGTGGGGCACTTAATTTTGTTGTTCAATGGCTACACTGACCTTAATTAACCTTGGACAGTCATCCTGTAAATGCATATTATTGCCCATAAGGGAAACAGTACAAGACAGTGTAAATGTAATCAGGGCAAACATTATCACTATCAGAAGACCTTTAAAATGACCTCTTGAGGAGAGGTCTGCATTATTAATATTTATGAAGGATAACATATTTATTATTTGAGAGTATTGGAACTAATTGAAACATGTATACTTTACCTCTGAATATAGAGGTGGAGGCTGAAATCGGAATTCTTGTATATAAGCAAACAGAGGACAGTATATTTCTTCCTGACAATCAGTTGGCTGAGGGTAAGGAGGAATGTGCCTAGAATACTCTTCTTCTGATACCACATCAGCATAATTTGGTGGTGCTGCAATAGAAAAGTACTCAAATCTAAAAATTCAATATAACTAATTACATATATAATAGCTATACTTCTATACAAGCAGTCTATAAATAGTTGCTACTGCCTATTTCATTCAACATTTAGTATCTACTATTAAATTTTCTTGCTGTACCTTTAGTTACAAAAATATAAAACAAAAAAATTACTAAATCTACCATGTCAGTTTGGGAAAAAACCATTAAGAAAATTAAAACTCTAGGACAACAAAGTATGCTGAAGTCATCCAAAATTTGACTTATATCCCCTTTGAATTCTGAGTCACTCTTTTTCTGGGAGCAATTTTCAGTTTCATAATACTGTACAAATTACTTCTTATGAACTGAACCTTCAAATGACATTGGGTAGAGTAAGATTTTGTGTAATGCATTATTCTTCTCTAGTCAATAAGATCTTAGTGCTAGTGGCAAATAGAGAAACTTAACAGACTATTTTTTAATCAAATCAGATTACCTTGAACATTTTTAAAAATAAATGATGCCTTCACCAAAACTTCCCCCAATATCCCTCCCTCTACCCTGTCCTCTTAGAGAATGATGCCATATAATAAATATTGGTTTTAAAGAAAAAAAAATCAGCAAAATTTATCAATACATCAGAAAACTGCCTGAATATGTTCAATGTATATCTATGGACCTCTATAAAAGGGTGGGGGTGGAGGTGTCTTCTCATCTCTTCTATACTGACATTATAGTGACTTTCTTCTTGGCCTCCCTAAAATATGAGCCTAATGGCAAAATCGATGGGTTACAATATTGACATCAATTGCTTTCCAAATAGGTTGTACTGACTCACAATTCCATCAACAATGCACTAATATGCCTATCTCTTCACATCACTTCCAACATTGACTTTTCCCTTTTGTCACTTTGAAGGGTGTGAAGTGACACCTCAAGATTGTTTTGATTTGAATTTCTCTTAATGATAGTGATTGAGTGTTCTTTCATAGGTTGTTTATAGTTTACAATTCTTTTGAGAACTGTTTGATCAGGACCTTTGACCATAAATTTATCTTTTGGGGAACAAGTTTTGGATTATTTCTAATTTTTCTTAAACTGGGCCCTCAGATTTCACTGTTACAGGGAACTGCCAGTGAAGAAATTCCCCTTCCAATGTAGATTGTACCTTTTCCGTTCCTAATAACTTCATAATGCTTAAGAAAACATTCTTATTAAGTGATTTGCCCACGGTCACATGGCCAGAGACAGAACTATTCCTTTTCTCAGACACATAATTTCAGACTTGCAATAGTACCACTCTCCAGGGCAGCTAGGTAGCACTGTGAATAGAGCACCAGCCCTGAAGTCAGGAGGATCTGAGTTCAAATCTGACTTCAGACCAAACACTGGACACTTACTAGCTGTGTGACCCTGGACAAGTCACTTAACCCCAACTGCCTAAAGAACAACAACAACAAAAAAAAAATAGTACCACTCTCAAGCATGGTGAAATTATGTATTCTATTGTTCAAAAATGAAGAGAACATGTATATTTATGAATTTTATATTATTAGTAGACTTGGCTAGGAGTTCTGTGTTCTACTCAGATTTGACCTTTGTTAGCTGTATAAAAATAAAGTGTTTGAATAACTCCAGAATGTGTTGTCATGATTTGCTACTAACTAGCTGTAGGACCTTGAGTAAGTCAACTAGTTACCTTTTTGAGTTTCAGTTTCCTTATAGAAGAAAATAAAGAAAGTAATCCTTGTATTCTTCCTCAAAAGTGGTTATGTCAATCCACTGAGATAATAAAAGTACTTAGTAAATATTTAAATAGAAATGTAAGCTATTATTATTATTATTATAAAAATTATAGATCTCAATTGGAAGAGATGTCTGTACTCATATAAGAATTTGGTCTACTGAAGGCCTCCAGTGGCAGGAAACCGATTCTGTCCTAAGGTAACCTACTCTACTTTTGGGCAGCTCTATTTGTCAAAATGCATTTTTTTTGTCAATACCTATTTGCTTAAAGGTTTGCCTTCTGGTGCTAAACAAAACAAGAATTCCTTTTGACAACCCTTTACTTACCTGAAGACAGATATCATGTCACTTCCTGATCCTACCAAGCCATTCTTAAGTTAAAAATACCCTGTTCTCTTTGCCTGATGCTCACAGGGCATGGTTTACAGTGCTCTAATTTTCCTGGTTACCCTTTCTGGATGTTTGTCAATGCCATTCCTTAACTGAATACAATACTCCAGATGTGATCTGATTAGGGAGAGTAAAGTGGAACTAACCATCCTCTTTCTGATTCTTTTAAGGTAGCCAATGCTTTCCTTAATTTTAGATTCATTGTGAGCTTATAGTCTTTATGGTACTAAAAAACTACTTTCTAACTATGCCTTCCCTAATCCTACACTTATGCCATTGAATTTCTGAGTCCAAATACAGAACTTAAAATTTTTCAATCCAATCTAACAAACATTTCTTAGGTATGTGCAAGGTACTGTGTGTATAGCAAGACAAAATGAAAACCTCCCCTGGCCTCAAAGTACTTACATTTTCCTGAGGGAACACAACATATTAATAGATAATTTGAGGATGAAAGAGAACATTTATAACCACAGGAATCAAGAACAGTTTAACAGCTTCCCATAGACAGTACATAAGCTATAACATCCAACTAGGAGCCTAGGCTATTGGGATGATTCAGGCAAGGTGATAAGGGCCTAAACTCTTGTGGCAGCCATGTGAATGGAGAAAAGGGGTTAGGTAGACATAGACTCAACGTACAGGATAATTCCCAAGTTGGGAACTTTGGTGACTAAGGAACTTGGTGGAGGGAAGGGCTGTGAGGAAGATAATTGTTACGCTTAGGAAATGCTGCATTTGAAATGCCTTTCAGACATCCAATTGGAGATGTTAAACAGAGAATTACTGATGAAAGATGGAGATCAGGAGGGCAGTCTCCGACTAGATACATAGTTAGATCTGGGAGTCATCTTCACAGAGATGATAACTGAAACCATGGAGGGTGAGATCATCAAGACAGGGAGTAGAAAAGAAGAGGGCCTGGGATAGAATTTTGAAGGACATCCACAATCTGAGAATGATGATACAACAAAGAGGACTGAAAAGGGATCAGATAGATAAATGACCAGAGGACAGCATCACAAAAACCAGACAGGAAAGAGCGAAGAGTTGGGGCTGGCCAGTCAACAATATCAAATATTGCAGAGGTCGAGAAGATGAGTGCTAGGCCAAAAAAATAGAAATTGTTTGGGACTTGGGGTTTCCTCTTTATCTCACTGGATTCAACACATCATTCTAATTTGGTGAGGCCTTTTGTGACTCTGATTTTATCATCTAACATATTAGCTATTTCTAAATTTATATCATTTGCAGCTTTGACAAATGTGTGATGCTTACAATGAAGCAACGGATTCTTTGAAGTCACTGATAAAAATGTTGGTAAGAATAGGGCTAAGGACATTCCTGGGTTACTCTATTAAAAGTACTCCCACTCTATGAATAAGTTAGTAAGAATTAATGATCCATTAATGACTTCTCTTTAAGTATGATCACTCAACCAGTCAAATCCACCTATCATTTATAAACCAACTCTCTCCAAAAGTTCACAGACTCACAGATTTAGAGCTGAAAGAGGGCCCTCATTAAGAGGTTATGAATATAGAATTAGAGCTGAAAGAGGGACTTCCTTAGAGGTATAATCAAGTTCACAACACCCCCTTCTCTCCACTTTTTTAAAAAAACACATGAGGATATGGAATCTGAATATATATCGAAGCACACTATTTGCTCTTTTTTTTGTTTCTTCTTTCTCATGGTTCTTTCTCATGGTTCTTCCCTAATTCTTTACAACATGATTAATGTGAAAATGTTTAATATGAATATATATGTAAAGCCTGTATCAGACTGCATACCATCTTGGGTAGGGAGAGAGGAGAGGAAGGGGGAGAAAATTTGGAACGCAAAATCTAATGGAAGTGAATGTTGAAAACTAAAAATCAATAAATTAAAAATAAATACAAGAGGAAACTTAGACAAAGAGAGTTTAAGTGACTTGCTCAGGGTAGTCATACAGATTGTAAGGGTCTGAAGTGAGATTTAAACCCAAGTCTTCCAGATTCTAAATCCAGACCTATCATATCATACTGCAATCTTGTTCATTTGATACTGTGGAAGATTTGGAAAGGTTCTGCTGATATTCAAATATACTATAGCTATTAAGGCATTTCAGTTGATTTGGAATATTAAGATCTAGATTTGAAACCCAGTTCTACTGCTTAACTCCTGTGTGACCATTTTGCTTAAGTAAGTTGAGGGGTTAGAACTGGATGAACTCTAAGGTCCTCTGGTCTATGAACATTTGAATCCTAATATAATAACCCTGTCAAGAAAGGAAATGAGGATAGCCTGATATGACCTGTTAGGACACCTCTAAGGTCCCTGCCATCTCTGAAACTTTAGTTCTAATACTTTTTTTTAATACAGAATTAATAAAATAATTACCTTCAGGATGCTCTGGAAGTGTCAATGTCAACCAGCTCATGTCCACACCAAACTGACTAGCAACACTGGAGTTTCTACTCCCAAAACCATTGTATGGAATTGTGCCAATTACCAATGGCAGCTCTAGCATCAATTTCTTAGCACCAGGAATGTGAATATATACCTATATACCAGAATCCAAGATAAAAAAATGCACAAAGAGGTCAGAAACCATGACCAATATCAAAATAGGTTTATCATTCACAAAACAATTTTTTAAAAAGATTACAAAATGTGATGTCAAAGTTATAAAACCCCAAATTTTCAAGATGTGCTATATAACAAATTAGTGTGGTAGACATAACATTACAAAGTCTTAAGGTCTGTTTTAATTTTGATATGGGTTTTATGGTAACAGAAAATTATCAGTTGAAATGCATTAGTTTTCCACGTGCCTATTTAGTACCTCATCCTTCAACTTTGCCTACAATTCAATATCTGTGAAAACCTAATAGTAAAATTCACATTTGTACACTCTGTAATTTATTATAAATTAAGCTTTCTTTTTACACAGATATTAATTTCTGAACAAATTTACATTAATATTGCCTTATTTATTACTCTACTCTATGTATTTTAATTCTCATTAAAGTTATACTCACCGCTAAGGAATAATCTACTCTGATAATACAGCAATCAAGGATGGATGGTATAACAGGTGGAATTTTCAAAGTCTTGCCATTCCATGTATCTGTGCTTCCAGAAGCAATATGGTTTCCTCGAACATTGGCAACCATTTGGCGAAATGTTTTGGTCTTCCCACTGGCCAAGTAAGTCTGTGTTTGAAAAATGGCAGCTTTGGGAACAATCAGACGAGATGAACAGTTTTCAATTTCTGCATAGATTGGTATGGCTTCACCTAGTGAAAGAAAATAATAAAATGCAAATATTGATATAACTATGGTTTCATAGAAATAGCCCAACATAATACTGTGACAAGTACCTGACTATCAGTTTATTATCAACGATGAATTTGAACCAAACACTAGCATCAAACGTTCAATAATATTTAACATCACGTTTAGAAATTAAGAAGATAAGACAGTAAACTAAAACTGTAAATCTGAGACAGCTGGAAGCTCACTGTTCTGATTTTATAGCTTATTGTGTAGTTATAATATAATCTAATTACTAATGTCTTTACTTGCATACAAATACAGGATTCAATTCTATTATTAATATATTATGAAACCTCACCAATGTATTCAATAGTGTCTGAGAAATAAAAATGTTGTCAAAACAGAGTCTTTGTCCTAAGGTATTTCAAATAAAAATATAAGAAGTAGAAGGATCTTTAAGCTTAATAGTAGAGAAAAAAAAAATGAAGTAGTATGGGATATAAAGAAAAGGGACACCATCAAATTATTATATAAAGTACGATATTCAAGCTACGTACCAAAAACATATGAACAACATGAATAATTGTATTTAAATTTAAATTTGAATTTAATCCAGGTAGTGAAATATTTCATTACATGTTTTTTTTTCTGGCAATAATTGACATTACAACATTTCTGAATAAGCAAGTCTGACTCTTTGTTGTGCATTTACAAACTAAAGGTGTCAATAAAGTTTCTGCTACAGACATTAAAAGATACAAAATTACTATTTAAATATTTATGCCAGCACTTACTAGACCTTATTTCTTAAGTTCCTTAATAATGGAAATTATTGTTCTAAATTGTTATTCCACTTTTAAAAAATATTTTAAGTTAATTAAAAATACTCATTGGCTTTCTACCTAGACATTTAAAAGATGAAAAAAAAAATCTTCTTACCATTGCAATATCCCTTTCTCTCAATTTTGGCACTCAATGAAACTGGGCCAGAAGTGAAAAACCAACAGCCAACCATTTTCTCATGACTTCTCAATACAGGTGTCTTTAAAAATGCAAGAATTTAAAAATACAAGAATTTTCATTAAAAATACTACAACACAGTTTTCCTAAAGAATGTAAAACACTTACTAAAAACTCTTACTTTTATGTTTACTGTAATATGGACTAACAAGCATCAAATAGGACTTAGGATCTAGTTAATATTTTATCACGGGCATAGTGTTGATCCTGGATTCTTAAAAATTATGCTCGCTGAGCATAAATCCTGGTAATTTCTACCAACATAGAAAGACCAGTAACTTCAAGTATATTTGTGGTCTAAGGATATCATAAGGAGAATGGCCACAGCAATCCAGGAAGACCATCTACAAGTTGTGAAGAGGCCGCAATCTGCTTTGGTGAAAGGAGTACCGAAATCAATTAAATTATGTTTCTTATGAAGTATTTTAAAAGATAGCTAAAAAAACTAGTTAAATCACCAAAAATTCTCCTTTTGTCTTGTTCCTTTCATACCTTATGTTATAACTGCTCATGATAGTATGAAGTAGTGCAAATACACTCTACTAGATCTTGTTTCCTCTCTTGAAAAATAAGATGAGATTCTAGCCTGTTTCCTCAACTGTACTATTAAGATTTAAATTGATAATAATGGCAATCATTCTATGGAAGCATTTATCCTGTGAACATAATCTGCAGTGACTATACCATATTTTAAAAGTCTATTTAGATAATCAGCATATCAACTTATAGACAATTAATTTTAAAAAGTCATACTTAAAAAATAACCTCAGAATTTCTCAGTATATGAGGGAGACTGATATTAAGACAAAACTATATGCAATCACAATCTCAGCTTAAACATTTAGGCGGTATCAATTTTTAAGTGAGGACTATCAAAGGAGGGTTATTTTTCTTAATAACAACAAAAAAAAAGCCCAGATAGTTTAGCTATCCATTCTCAATTTGAATTAAAAAAAAATTGTCTCTCAATTATACAGTAACAAATAGCACGATGAGTTTTGAGGGTCTAAGCACACCACTGTATTTTCTGTAATATCAAGAAGCTATGGCAATGGGTAATGCCATCAATTTACAAAGCTCCTACACTACTACAGTTAAGCTTTTTTGTTAAATGAAAATATGGTTTCTTTTAAAGTGTTGGTAGCCAATTTGATGAAGTGAGACACTTAAAGACTATTTGTCATCTGTTTTTTTACTGTATATCAAATGGCTTGAAAAATATCAGTTCTTAATCTTTTTTTTTGGTTTGGGATATCCCCCCCACCTGCCTTTAGCAGTCTAGTAAAATCTGGATCCCTTCTCAGAATGTTTTTAAATACATAAAAGAAACCAAGCATAAAGAAATATAGTTATAAAGCACAGTACCTGGAATATCATAAGATCTAAATATATTATTTCCCTTCCATCTCCCCCTCACCCAATTAAAAAAAGTTCGTGTACCCATGTTAAAAATTCTTTCTTGAAACTATTTAATTCAAATTACCATCATTAAAGTTAATAAAATATACTTCTCACATATAAGAAACCTGTACAAATATATTAACATACTGATGTTGGGGTATATGGCTTTAAATAACTGGATTATCCTATTGCTAGCCTTCTGATTATTTTATGATCTATGCAGACTGCAGTATGATAAAGGCAATCAATATCTTTAGTGAAGCATCTTATCACAGTAATGATTGGCTTTGCTAATTCTCTAGTTCATTGTACATAACTGACAGTCTTATAACTATCTAAAAATTACTAAAACAAGTTGTATATATTTACTTTTAGTGATTACATAATCAAATCTTAACTTCTTTTCCTTGTCTTTAAAACAGAACCCCTAATATTAGTAGTAAAATAATCCCCAGATACTAAAAATATATTATAGTTACATTATGATAGGAAGTTTAAATTATCCAGCATTTTCTATGAAGTAAAAATCATTCATTCATATTTAAATGTAGAACCATTAGGTCCTACTAGCTATCATGAAAGTGCAAGGTATAATTTTATATTATTTTGATAATATGGGTTTAGATAAAAGAATCTAGCTCATTAGCTCCCATCTTGCCTATTCTGTTGTTACTTATAGTCTGATCTTCCTTATCATTCTACAGTATTTCTAGTGCTTATTAGAAGTTCAATGCTTTAATGTGGCCAAATCTGTCATAAGGAAATGATAACTGAAAGGCTCTCTGCAGCAGCTGCGTGCACTTACTTAATGTTAGAAAATGACATGCAAAATGGAAGGATACACAGCATAATGGCCAGAGCTTAAATAACAGGCTAAGCATGATTAATACTCTACTATAATTACTGTTTCTCAACCTACTATTATTGAGGAGCTTAGGACACTACAGCCCTATGAATATAGTTGCTCTGGTAAAAGTAACTACTTTACACTTGTGCATTATTATTATTAAGCTTTATTAATGCATTTCAAGCTTGCATAACTTTTTGGCAAAAGAAATTCTGAACAGCAAGGATATAATCAATAGTATTAACACACTCACACAAATTGTAATTTGCCCAACCTAAGATCATCTATTTATGATGAATGCTTATGGGTTACAAAATTATACTCTTTTAAGTAGTCAGAAAGTGACAGGTCATACCGTCACCAAATTGGCTAAATCTTAGTTTAAAATATTTTGTGTAGTTATAATTAAAAAAAATCTTACTAATAAAGCTGGTGTGTTGACATCAATATGACTAATAACCTGGAGTTCTCTTTTTATACTTTGGTCGGGTACCACAGGCCGTTCCAAGATTGCTCTCACAGAGTATTGAATACTGCCATACTTTCCAGTGAATGATGTTACCAAAGGCCTGAAATAAACACCATACGTTAATTTATAAGTTTGATAAGAATTAAAAAGTAGTTGGAGAGTAACATAATTCTAAAAAACTGATGGGTTAAAGAACCAATTATAGAAATAGAAAATTTTACCTAAGAAAGGGACAATGGTGAGACAATATATCAGAACTCATGGAATACAGATAAAATAGTTCTGAGGAGAAATTTTACACCTCTAAACACTTTCATAAACAAAAGACGAAAGTAATAAATGAATTGCTGATGTAATTAATTTACAAGTTTGTTTTACATGGGGCAGAGGGTAGAAGTTCTGGGAGTAGGAGAGAAGATGCAGGACTGTCTAGACATGTTAATTCATCTGTGTTGGGAAAACCAGAGTATAGAAAACTCTCTCCACTCATGTATACTGTTTACACACAATAGTCTTAATAAGACTGGCCGATCAAACGAAAGGTTCTGAATGGTCACACAGCCAGTATGTGTCAGAAGAACTCCTCAAACCTGGGTTTTCCTGACTCCAAGGCCAATCCTCTGTGTACTATATTATGGCACTTTTCTTATCTTACATTAAATATAAAATAGACCTTTAATCATGCTGTTTTGTCAGTATATTTTTACTTCTGGTAAATAGTGAGCAAAAATGTTTATCTGACGAACAAATATGTACATCTAAGAAACAGAAGATTCTTGATGTCAACAGTCTAGTTATTTTGTAGGGAAAGAAAAAAATAGATAATGATTCACTTACTCAGATGGGAGCTGAAAGCTGAATGGAAATTCATGTTTTCCAGGTTGTAATAAAATGATGCTTTCACCTATAAAAGACAGATTAGGTATCTTAAATAAGTCTATTATAAAATCAAATTTTTATGACACAAACTAGTTTTTATTTCATTTTAATATTTCTTTTGCTACTATAGATATCCATAAAAAGTTTATTAACCTGAGAAGGTAAATTTTTTTTCCTTTTTGTGGGACGCAAAATACATAGAAAAAAAAGACAAAGGGACACAAAGAGCAGTTGTTACTACCTGTTAAATTTAATATATGAATATACTTCAAAAAGTACAAACTGTACATATAAAATTTAATTTCTAATATAGCTTCTTTTAAAACTAAACATTTGTTAAAATTGTACTTTGTATTTGAAAATTGAAAGTAGGCGTGAAATACTTTTCATCACTGAATTTTTTTCTCAAATACACAAAAATGTACACATAAGACAATTTTGATTTTAAGCCGTTAGGTTAATGAAAATAAATTACTGCTTCTTTCATTCTGTGAATTCTTTGGAAAAGTCAGAGTAAAGAAATGATGGGTGTTACATGGTAATCTTTCTCAAAAATAGGTTTATAGAAAGCAAATGATTTTAGAACTAGAAGGAACTCTAGAGATCACCTAGTCCCAATTCCCTTGTTTGATAAATGAGGAAACTGAGACCCAGAAGTGTGTTACTCAGTCTCACCGGTCCATGGCAGAACTCAGCTGAACTTGACTTTCAGGTGTACAACCCCTTCAGGATATCATGTTGCCTTCCAATTGGTATTCAGGCTATTTTACATAGCATCTATGGATACTTTAACTTAGTTACTAAGAGGTTAAGAGCTGGTAGTAATAAGGCTGTATTCATGTTGTAGGTAATGAAACTTAACCAAAATTTAGATATTCCCTTCTGGTTAGTTACCTTTTCTTTGGTCCATTAACAGGAGAGTGAAGCTTTTTCACTCCAGGCAACTGTCTCATAAATTTATTTTATTCTCCAAAAGGAAGACCAGACCAGATAATACGAAAGGCTTATGTAACTGTGCCAGGTCTTATGTTATGTGCTGGGGCTATAAAGATAAAAGCAAAACAGTACCTTCCTTCTAAGCACTTATGTTATAATTGGGAAGAAAATATGAACACAAAAATAAAGATACAAACTAAGTTTGGGAGTGGAGGCATTACAAGTTATTGGGGACCCCAAAAGTCCTTCTGAAAAAGGTAGTGCACAGGTGTAATCTCAGGAAACCAGATCCCAGGATAAGAAGTGAAGGAGTATATTCTAGGCATGGGGGAAAGAAAGTCTGTGAAAAAGGCATGGAGATGGAAAATGGAATGTAGTGTAAGGATTAAGAAGACCAAATGGCTGAATTATAGAGGACATGGAAGAGAATATGTCATATAATAAGGCTGACAAGATAGGATGGGGTCAGGTTGGAAATAGGTTTAAATGCCAAAGGAGTCTCTATTTTATCTCAGAAGAAATAAGGAGCCACTGGAGCTTACTGACAGCTATGTGGAGGATGGAACTTGAGGGACGATGGGAAGAGACTTGAAAAAGGGGACCCTCCCAACAAAAAGTCAATCAATTAATCCAGGTGGAGAGATCATGAGGGCCTGAACTAGAGTAGTAATAGAGTAGAGAAAAGGGGTCATGAGAAATGTTGTGGAGGCAGGATCAACATGACTTGTTAACTGATTGGATATGCAGGTTAAGAGAGAGGAAGGATGACACTAATGCTGTAAACATGGGTAACTGGAAGGACATATGGTAACAGAAATAGGGAGGTTCAGAAGAGGGGTTAGGTTTTGGGGAAAAAGTTCTATTCATATTGAGTTTGAGGTATCTACAGGAAATCCATTTTGAAATTCCAAGAAGCAGTCAGTGATAATAGAAATAAAACACAGAAAGTGACTAGGGTTGTATATAAAGATGTGGGAGTCAATTTTAAAAGATAATTAAACCCATGAGAACCAATGAAGACACCAAACAAAACACAGAGGGGAAAAAAACAGGCGCACAGCAGAAATGCCAGTTTATATGAACAATTGAATTGGTTATCCATTAATTCAATTAAACAAGTATTTGTTAAATACCAAGCACTGTGTTCAACACTAGGTACTCAACAAAAACAGAAAGTCCCTGTTCTCAGGGAGCTTAAATTCTCCTGGAAGGAAATAATACATATATACACAAAGTAAATACAAAGCAATTTCTTTGAGGGGCAAGGGACAGCCCTAACAATTGTGGGGATCAGGGAAAGCCTCTTGAAGAAGTGGCACTTGAGTACAGCGCCAAAGTTAGCTAGATTCCACGAGGCAAAATGAGGCGGGGGAGGGGTAGAACCATAAATGACTCTATGTGAAAGCAGAGAGGCAAGAGATGGAATGTCATGAATCAGGTACAGGAAAGAGGACAGTTTGGCAAATATGCAGTGTGCAAAAAGAAATATCAAATCAGTCCAGATAGATAGGGTGGAGTTAATCATGAATAATTTCCAATGCCAAAGAGAGAGGAACTTAAATTTTCACCTGGAGACAAGTAGGAAACCAATGAGGCTTCCTGAGCAGGTGAGTGACAAGGATAAAACTGTGCTTTAGGGAGAGCAATTTTACAATTGTTTGGAAAGGAGAGAGAATGAAGGCAAGGAGACCTTTTAAAAAGCTATGCAATAGTCCAGGTGAAAGGTGATGAGGCCCTAAACTACGTGAGTAGAGAAGGAGACAGATATGAGACGTCACTGAAGCAGAGTCTATAGGGTGTGGCACTGGGGGGAAGGAAGGGAGGGGGTGAGAGAGAAGAGTTCATGAGGAAGTAGGAAGAGTTAAGGAAGACTGAATTTTCAAAGAGGAATGGTGGTACTCTCCACAGAAGTAACAGGAAGTTAAAATGGATTGTTTTGTTTTCTGCAGGAAGGGAATGGTATAGTGGCAAGTGTCTGGGTGGAGAAATTAAGTTAGTGATAAATGTGCTGAGCTTTAGGTATGTCCAAGTGGGGATGCTTAATAGGCAGTTGGTAATGTGAGGCAAGCTCTGGAAGAAAGATGAGAGAGATTTGGGAGTCATCTGCAATAGAGAAGATGACTGAACCCTTTGGAGTTGAGACTGAGAGAGAAAGTATATGGACAAAAGAGGGCTCAGGATAAAATTCTGGGATATTTCTATACTTAGAAGGCAGGAAATAAATGATAATTCTACAAGGAAGAATAAGAAGGGGTCAAACAAGCTGGAGAACTAAGAGCGGTGTCATGGCCCCATGGCCCTTCTTAATCTTCCTTACAGGATTATCCAATAATCTATACCCTAAAAAATATGGATCTCATTCATGCTGAAAAGTTCCCTCCAACCATGCAGACTTCCACCTATCCATGTCTTCTGATTCCATATGACTTTTGTCCATGGATTTCTATAAAGACATCACAATATGTTTCCAACATGCTGAAAGCCTTCTTCCCTTCTCTTGGTATTGTAAAGAGATCAATGGAAAGCAGGCTATCTGTCCATCAGTTTTCTATTACTGTCAGTACATGATTGGCTTTTGTTGTTGTTTATTTACTGAGTAGAATCCAAAATCTGAATAATTCATAAGTCAAGCAAACAATGATAACAGACCAGGACTCTTGGAATGAGTTGCTTATATACTCATACTTGTTGATAAATATGTTAGAGATTACTACCTTAAGAGTATAGACATTCAAGACATGTGATAAACACACAATACTCTGAATATTATGCAATTAAAAAGCATCTTTCAGTGTAAAAAGTTATTTTTTCACATGTAGATAAGTGAATTCACTGAGGTGATAAAGTCTCACAGTACCAAAATAGAAATCCTGAATCACAACCTATTGAGCTATACTGCATAAAATATCTATTTGATTTTAATGACACCTTCTTTACATTGAAAACTGAAACTGTCATGTCCATTTTGAAACAAGACTCAACTACTTAAAAAACACAACTCGGAAAAACAAAAAATAAAATGGTTGCAATAATTTTAATGAAACTACTTTCTATTCAAATGTTTACAGTTTAACATCTTCAACAACTAATCAATTTGTGAAATGTGCTCACTGCTTATCTAATTAAAGCCTTCTGCCTTGATCAAAGACATTTACAGAGATGTTTGCTAAGCAGCACACAAATGTTTGCCAAGCCTGACTCCCTAGTATGAAATATGACTGAATGAAATTATATTTGCATTTCCCTGAGGTCAAATAAAGCTAAAGCTCTGTCTTCAACAACATGAGGTTAGTGGTTTGCTTTTATTTAACTTTGCATTTCCTCCAATGTTTCACCCATAGAGGCTTAATACATGTTTGTTGAATTGAATCAAATAACAGGACTGTCAGAGCTTTCTTACCCTAGAAATTAAGTGGCTAAAAGTTCTGATCTTATTATTTTGGCCCGTAGTTTGCTGTATAAATAACTTTAAAGTACTTTATCAAAAGGCAGAAATAGGACCAATAAGAAGCAAGTTTCCTTTCAATAAGGAAAAATGCTCCAACAATTATAATAGTCCAAAAATGGAATCAACTCCCTTAGGAAGCTGAGTTCTCCACCTTGTGATATCTTGAAGAAGCTGTGCAATCATTTGTAGAAGATGATATAGATGAAACTCATATTTGAGTAGAGCTTTAATTAGATGGTCTCTGAGTTATCTTTCCAGCTCTAAGATCATTATGGTACCCACATGAGATCATGAATCCAAAGTAACTTTGTAGCATTAATAATCATTGCTCACATGGACATAGTTTTAAAGTTTAGTTAAATTTTTGATAAACCAATGTCCATGTTTTATGTGTGCACTGAGTATAAAAAGTATATTTTAAAACACATCCAATAATATTCAATGTGAAGATAATTTCAAGGCAATAAACAGCATCATGACTTGAGTCCACTGATTCAAGTCTTGAGGGTCTTAAGGGCCAGAAAGCATACTGCATTAAAGGAGTGCTTTGAAATCAATGGTCCTGAATTTAAAGCCTGACCATCTGAAACTATCTGTTACAATAGGAAAAAAAACACTTTATTGCTCCTGGTCTCAGTTTCTTCTTATGTAAAAGCCGGGGCTTGCTAAATGACCTCAGTTACCAATGAGCTCTAACTCTATGGTTCTCACTCTTTTTAGTGAAGTTATTTGTCCAAGGTTCCATAGAAAAAATCAGGGTTCGAGTCAAAGCTTCCATACCTTTTCATCTCCATCACAAATAGCTTTACTAATATTTTCTGATCTCTACTAGCTCCACGATCTAAATTTCAACTTATTTGTCACTCATTTTTGTATGTGTCCTCCTAATCTTACTTAAACTTTGTCTACAACCTTCCTTCTGAACCCCAATATTCCAAGTGCTTATTCTATCCCAGTGACTCCTACCTAACTCCCCTTTCACAACAGTCTCCCTTCAAGTACACACTCATTACCACCCCTCCCAAAACTCTCCCCACACCTTTCTCATTCCAAGCCTTTTCCTTTCCTCTTCTCCACTTTACTAGGAAGTAACCCTCACATCCCCCCCCCCATTCTACCCAGTACTATTAGCATTGTTTTCTGGAGTCAGAAGAAAGTTTGAAAGCCTTTAAAATACTTGAAGACTGCTACTCAAATCTTCTTTTCTACTGGCTAATCAGTTTTTTGGTCCTTTTATCTTGTAGGTCACCACCCATCAATGAATATATATATATTATATATATAGTGAAGCTAAATCCCCCTTTCTGGTCCCCTACCCCTCTACCCTTCCCGTTCTCAATTCCTCCAACACTCCCGGCCTCATCTAAGATTCTTTCAATAGGCTCCAGTAAAACTAATAGTTGATACCCTCGAGTTCTATTCTCCAGGGCATCCCTAGCCACACTCCACACCCCATTTTCCAGGCCAGCTCTCCATCACTCAATCCTCCCCTCCCCCGCCCCCAATTCTACCTCCTTCCCCTAACCAACCCCACCCCTCAGGCCAGAGGTGCTTCAAGCCCCTTCACTACCCCCCGCGCCCTCAATTCCACCTCCTTCCCTAGTCACGCCCCCCCACCACACTTTGAAGACGTGCTTCGAGCCCCTTCACTCCCTACCCCCCCCCGCCCCCAGTTCAGCCGCCCTTTTGCCATCCCTCCCCCCCTCAGAGCTCAGCCTCCCTCTAGTCACCCCCCCAGCCAGATGTACTTTAGCCCCCTTCACCGCCGCCCCCGCCAGCTTGGACTTACCCCCTCCCCCCCAC